TCTCTCTCTCTCTCTTTCCCCCTCACACACCGTTTGCAGCAGCGGTGACTAATATTGATGTGCAATTCAATGACTCCTCTTACTGAGGTGTTTAATTCTTGCAAAAGTGCATTTTTTTTCCCTCTTGGGTGCTCTCACACATACCTGCCTTTCTCAAGGATGGCCAGTATTAAATAAAAAAGAAACAGGATTTGAAACACACTCACATTCTGATACTGACCGCACTCCCTGACCTGTATCCCTGGTGATTGGTAGACAGATAGCCTTGTTCCTGAGTGGCTGACCACACGGAGATCAGGAGGCTGAAAATAACAGAAGGAGAACGAGAAAGAGAAAGGGGGGAAAAAAAAAACCCCCACATTTCTCATTTCCTCTTTCCTCTCTCTGTCCTTCTTTTGATTTTCCTCTATCTCGTGTTTTTTGCCACTCTCATTCTCCCTTCCCCCTCTTTCTGCCGTCCTCATCGCTGTGTAGTGTCTCTCGTCTTTTCTGATTCGGTGTGGTCATAAAACACCCTTCGCACAGACACTTTGATAGTCAAGGTGAAATTGAAGCGTGGGGTCCCTGGAAGAGTTGCGTCCTGTTTTGCATAATCAGCATTTACAGGTGAACTAATGTCCCAGTATTGCAGAAACATGATTGGCCTGTCAAGTAGCAGCATGCGCCCTGCAGACCTTTCTCCTCCTCATCATCATTGCATTGTCGTTGGCAAAGGAGCAAATACTCTACTTTGACTTCTCTCCTCCTCGTCCTTTACTTGTAAAACCTCCATCCCATAAATTATCTTACTCCCGCCCTTTTAGTATACCGCCTCTGTTGTTTCCATCCCAGGTTGTCAAGAGATACCAACTATGGGATATAGTGTTTGCAGTGTGAAATGTATTTGTGTATTTGTGAAAAGCTCATAAATGAAAGCAGACCTAAGCAAATGTGTTTTTTCCAAGCCCCTGCTCTTCATTTATCAGAATTAGTTGGTGTGAGAAAACAATGACAGCAATGAGGAAGGAAGTAGGGCCTTATGCATGGAAATGTGGGCAGTGCAGGGCTACGCTCAGACAGAAAATAGCACAATACTAAAATAGAACTATACAAAAAAACAAAACGAGTGACTACATTGGTGAAGGTTTGTTGCCACAGGTACTGGTGACAAGATGAAGAAAGTTTTGAAGGTTTATCAGATACTAAACCATCATCATCGCAACAGCCATTTTATCCCTTGTCAAGATAATCTTAGGGAAAACAGTAGAATTGAGCCATCCGTGTTACAAGGCAGTTGTTTATCTGCCAATGCAATATATTGCTGCTTGACGCTGCATTGTGTTCAATCAGGTTGTGTTCAGAGCCTACACTGGCAGGAACGTAGACCGGGACCCTCACCATGTGAAAGCCTGTTTTAAAAATGTGATGAGGCAGCCTTTTTTTGATGCAGTGCAATTGTCTGTCTGAACATAGCTTTAATCACATAGGTAACTGCATAGCAGGAGACAAGCAGGTTTTTGAGTGTGCTGCCGACTGCTGTCTGCAGGGGGAGGGGGCTGTGGAATAGTGTTGAGCATAGGGACCCTTCAAAAACCATAAGTGAATGGTTAACAAGAATTGTGCTGTATATGTTGCATACATCTCAGTCAAGGGGTTTTATATTTCTCTCTGCTTAAGTTATATTTGTCCTGATATATACAGTATATATTGTAATCATAGCTCCCTGAGGGAAGGCAGTGTGTGTTAGGCGACCTTCTGTGCTGCCAAGAGAGGCTGATGCCTGGATACAGTTGCCAGAACTGCAGGAGTAATTACAATAAGGGGTTACTGGATAGTGTGTTGATACTGTTGAGACCATGACAGGAAAGCTTTTTGAGCAGACCTAGCTATAAACTGCTTGCTGTCAATGTAACTGTGCCCACAGGCACTTTTTTTACACACTCATGCCTCCTCCAAAGCCGCCATGGTAAAGTTGAAAGTTATGAAATATTAAAGAGTTCAGTGCTGTGAGTCTATAACTCATTCCAGCAACACTGGCATTATGTGTAAAGAGCCTTTAAAAATCAGCCAGTGCCTCCCCTGCTATCTTCACTCATAATTAAATGCTGACACACATTTGCCTCCCAGAGTTGATTTGATATAATTTATTTATGACTGGGGCAGCATGATTTTTTTTTTTTCAATTTTTTGTCTGTACTGTGTGTGAGCCTTTTAGTCCCCTGTGCCTGCTTGATATAATCAATAGGAAATGTTTCTTGGACACTCACCATGTTTTTTCTTTCTGCCTTCCAGGGCTCCCACATTGTGCCTCTGTGGATGATGTTCCTGATGACGGCTTGCAACACTGAGAACAGGACAGCGGATCAATAGAGTTTTATTTCCCCTCCCTTCTCTCTCTCCCTCAAACTGTCCTCCCTTCTTCATTGACAGAAAAGCAGAAACAAAAGAAAATCCTGACTTGGGTCTTGGTACCAGAACTTATACTCCTCGTCCTTCTCTCTTTCTCCTTCCCCACCCCCCCCTAAGCCTTGCCACTAGACAGCCCAGATATGTGTCCCTTAGCTCGGTCAGTGGCTTCCCCTGGTCAGGGGAACTTTTTTCTCCTCTTGGGGCTTTTGGTTATCATGAGCGCATCCTTCACTGGAGGCCAACCCCCGCCCTTCAAACGATTTACCCCTGCTGAGTGGGGGCTCACACATCTGGCCATCCACAACAAAACCGGAGAAGTCTATGTGGGAGCCGTCAACTGGATTTTCAAGCTGTCTAGCAACCTTACCAAGCTGCGCAGCCACATGACGGGCCCAGTGGTGGACAATGAGAAGTGCTACCCTCCGCCAAGTGTCCAGTCCTGCCCTCATGACCTGGCCCAGACCTCCAATGTGAACAAGCTTCTCCTCATAGACTATGCACAGAACCGCCTCATTGCCTGTGGCAGCACTTCACAGGGGATCTGCCAGTTCCTACGTCTAGATGACCTCTTTAAGCTTGGCGAGCCCCACCACCGCAAGGAGCACTACCTCTCCAGTGTGGCCGAGTCGGGTACCATGTCCGGGGTCATCATAAGCTCACCCCACAACCCGACCAGCAAGCTTTTCATCGGAACACCCATTGATGGCAAATCTGAATACTTCCCCACCCTGTCCAGCCGCAAGCTAATGGAGAATGAAGAAAATGCTGACATGTTCAGCTTTGTCTATCAGGATGAGTTTGTCTCCTCTCAGCTGAAGATCCCCTCGGACACTTTGTCCAAGTTCCCTGCTTTCGACATTTATTATGTTTATAGCTTCAGCAGTGAGCAGTTTGTCTACTATCTAACAATGCAGCTGGATACCCAACTGACTTCACCTGACGCCAGTGGAGAGCAGTTCTTCACCTCCAAAATCGTCCGCCTCTGCGTGGACGACCCCAAGTTTTACTCGTACGTCGAGTTCCCCATTGGCTGCACCAAAGACGGGGTAGAGTACCGCCTGGTGCAGGATGCGTTCTTGGCTCGGCCAGGCCGGCAGCTGGCCAACTCTCTGGGGATCTCTGAGAATGAAGACATCCTCTTCACAGTCTTCTCTCAGGGTCAGAAGAATCGGGCCAAACCACCCAAAGAGTCAGCATTGTGCCTGTTCACCCTGAGGAGGATAAAAGAGAAGATCAAAGAAAGAATTCAGTCCTGCTACAAGGGAGATGGGAAACTCTCCTTACCCTGGCTGCTCAACAAGGAGCTCGCCTGCATCAACTCGGTAAGCCCAAATCTCCTCTTCGTGCTTTTGAGTCCTGTTGAGTACATACTCAATACTCATACTTACAGGCCTTTTCCCTTAGAATCAACATATCAGTCAAGGTAAACATATTATGGTTTGATGGTGCTGACATTGATGCAAACCACATTAGCACTGCATTTGGCAAACGTGCACCGCTCTCTTGGATACAGGCTTTTCTCAAGAGCGTTTCTGAAAATAGTCTCGCTAAACCACGAGTATACACACATACAATAGTCATTCATAAAAGACTCGTCTTGATGTCGATGAGTTTGTTTCCCTCAAACTGTGCTACTCTTATTTCTCCACTCAAGCCTTTTTGTTGTGCGCCTGCTAATTGAATTCTGGCCCACCCCTGCTACATTCATTCATGAGGACCGCTGCTACAGGCCTGCAGTGATTAACAATATGAAGTTTAAGAAGCTCTTATTTCTCTCTTGCCATATTCCATTTCACTTTTTTTCTGTCCATTCTCCCTCTCTCCACAACCTCTTGGTGCTTTGATTTAGTCAGAAAGGGGACATCATTAGCCCAGTCCCCTGGATTTGTGAATTGTCACTCAGGAGCAGCTCTCGCGCACACACGTACACACAGTATGGTTCGGTGCACTGCAGTGTGAGATCCTGGGGGATAGCATGAGCTAGACTTGGTTTTCACTAACTGATCCACAGTGCATGGCCCTGCATGCGTTACAGAGGACAGCACTCACGCAGACACACATACATGCACTCACACTGGAGACCTTAAGGCACTACACATCAGCTCACAGTCTAGTTTTCTCTGTAGTGAACATAAATACCTTCTCACATCCTTTATTTTTCTCTGACCTTCATTCCTCATTCTCTTCTGTCCACTCTCTTCAGGCTGCCTGAATCCTTTTATATCTTTGTTCCATCTATTCGTGTTTTGTGTGCCTCACTTAAAGTTGGCCACATGTCTCAGCAACCTCATCTTCCATCCTGTGTGCTCTTTAAATTCAACCATCCATCCTCTCCATCTTGCTCTCTCTTAAAATAGCTTAATTAAAAGACCTGTTTTAAAGCTTTCTCTTTAAATGTCAGCGCACACAATTTCTACCGGCAGGTGTCTTCGCTGTGCTTCCCCACACACACACACACACACACACACACACACACAAACCATTCACCGTGTGTTGCATCTAATGGAGTGGGATAAGAACAGCACTCTTTCTCTGTGTAGACCTTCATTAGCTTGAGTGCACAGGTGTGTTTTGTGTGGTAGTGTAAGTGATGTGAATGACCTAGCCAAGTCCCCCTTCACCTCCCTTTCTTCCTCTCTTTTGCCACCCTCTGTAGATGTAGTCTCTTTCCTGTTCAGTGGTTGTTCTTATTCTTTTTCTGTGCTTTTCTTTCTCGGGGCCCCGTCACACCGACAATAGCTCTGAGGCACAAAAAGCAGGCTATCTCATTTATTTCAATTAGACCTTTGCTCTGTTGCAGCAGGAGCTCTTGGTGCAGAGTGTTGCTGTACAAAATCAACAAAGTTAATATAGCAAAGAATTTGCCTTTCCCTTTTAATGCGGTGCAGTGGAACATCGTTCAGTAACTCACTGTGCTGGCTGGTCAAACGCTGCATGTGTAACTGTACATGCCAGGTATATAACTGCATTGTGCTGATATGCTGCTGACCTCATCAGCATTTAGCATTCAAATGATTACTCATGATAAGTCTCAGTGGATGGACAATCCAACCTGTAAGGGGTATTAACCACCATGCAGTGTGTCGGCTTTTGAGAAGACTCCAACCCTGAAATTCCACCGGGCCCGACTATATAATGTCACGTCTGTGACACGGTTTGGCTCCGTGTTCCACGCATTTCCAAATCCCAACGAGAGCGTTTCAGAAACAGAGCGTCCGCAGAGTGTGTTGCCTGCCCGACATGGTATACTTATGTATTTTGTCCTTAAAAAGGATACAGAACGGTGTGTTTATCTGCTTAAAATCTCCTCTAACCTGACTGATGACTTTAGGTCTGGTGCCACAATGTTGATCTAGCATGAAATTCAGAGCCGGAACACGTTGCAGCCGTGTCCAGTGGAATCAGAGGAATGGAAGGGATAAACTAGAAATACTGGTTTGAATTTCACATAATACAGCCTTACCAATATAGCCTGTGGACTAGGGTTGGGCGATATGTTAAAACTTTCTAATCGGCCACCGTCCAACAGTCAATTAAGCTAATAAATAAAATGACAAAATTCGGCCATGGTGATGAAGCCAATATATCCAATCGCCCAACCCTACTGTAGACCTTTTTACTTGTTGCAGCAGGAAAAGCACAGCTGTAACCTATATCATTAAAGATGGATTCCATTTAAGTGTCCCAAGTTAAACTATTGAGCCACTTAAATAAAATTCTGCTGTTTCATTCATTATTTCCACCTGTACATTTCCTGACATGACACAGCAGTTTCAAAACTTATTCTGTATCCCCACCCAGCACCTCCTGCCAGTCAGGCCTGTTACCATAGTTACTGGAGTTTTGATAAGGATTGCATTCACTTATCGTAATTTATCACCACTTAAAACATCCTCTCAACCAATCCACCAATGATGATGTAACAGCCTCAGAGATCAGCTGATTGGCTGACCCCATGACAGCAGCGAGGCTGGAGGGGTCAGCCTCAGGTTAATGACGTCTGCCACGTTGTCCCTGAGCAGTGACCTAATGTCAGCTGCCCACCACTGACCTTCACCTCAGTCAGTGATCCAAAGGACCTCAAATCTGACCTCCAGATGAGTGTGTGTGTGATATCTTTTTTTTCGTGTGGGAGCTGGTGGTGTGCCGCATAACTAAACATAACAAGCACAGTGAAACACAGACGAGGCTGAAATAGAAATAAAAACAGAAATAACAAGAGAACAGGTCAGATATAAACATGTAAGTGTATCATTAATAACCAGCCTAGATTTACTCCAAGGCCAAACAGTGAAACTTTGTTTACTGTATACTGTAAAAAAAATCACTGGGGCAATTTTGGATAAACTTTTGCATTACCTTTTGACTGACTGGTTGTTATTACCAATGCTGTATTATATAAAATCGGTATGATTGTGAACTATTAAAATCCACCCATCAGTCAGAATCAGGGATCCAGTAAATGTTGAACATATAAGTAAAGGACAAACTCACAAACCTAACTGGGAGCCATTTCCCCCATCCCCATTCATCTAGCTGATCCAAGTATATAAACTGGCAATCTCCTACTCCACAGCTCTGTATCGTTTAAGCTACCGGTGTTTGCCGTTGAACCCCACCCAGATTTTTTTCCCAGCCACTCCAGCCTTACCTCAACTACATGTGACTGAGGAGTGTGGGAAAGGCTGTGTGATGCGAGGAGTAGAGGGTGAATACGTTTAAGTCGACCCTGCCACAGAGCGGTGGAGAGGGCAAGGGAGGGGGGTTGGGGGTGGTGGTGGCCTGGACAGCTGTTAGCCACACAGCCATGATGGATGGCCAGGCGCTCTGTCAACTCCCTGTGTGGAGTTCATATTAGTGCTGGGTCATAATTTCTAGCCTCTGGCCATCATTAGGATGATATGTTTATGGGCTCAGTGAGATGGTGGCTGTTTTTCTGTAAACACAAATGTTTGGCCATATTAGAAGCAGCTCTGTGTGTGTTGGACTAAGCACACACACACGCACACATACACACACACACACACAAACACACACAGAGCAGACAAATATAGCCAGGTAACAGGGCTGAGGTGATGAATGCTGTGTGTGTATGTGGTGGTGTGTTTTGTTTGTGTTTCTCATGTTTTGTCCCTGAGCTTATTTTTACTGAACCCCTGACCTTCTCCCCGGTGTTGAGATGATCAATACAGAACCATTTCCAACAGGGGGAAGAAGAGGAGAAAAGAGAAAAGAGGAGAAGAAGGGAACAGGGAGAAGAGAGAGAAGAAAGAAAGAAGAAAAAAAAAAAAAAGGAGGCAGAAACCGAGAAGACAGAAGACGCCGCAGGACATCGAGAGAGATGAAAGAACAGAGAAGAGAGGGAGGAGAGAAAATGAGAGAGAGAAGAGTAAGGGAGAGTGTAAGATGATGGAGATGAATTCAAAAACACAGTTAAAAAATAAAAGAAGGAGATGTAGCGAGAAAGGGCGGGAGCATTAAGACCAGGACGAAGAGGAGGCAAACTGAGAGATACGCCGCCAGAACATCGACAGACCAGAAGAGGGACGAGAGGAGAAAGACACAAGGACGAATGCAAGACCAGTACGGGCAGAAAAAAGAACGTAAAAATGAGAGAACACTAAGGGAGTCGGAGAGAAAGGAAGAGTTAGACACCAAGAGCAGCGTACGGGAGAGAGTTGGGGAATTGGAAGGGCGACCATAAATTGAGGAGATGAAGACAGAGCGGAGTGTTGAAAAATACACAGACAGAAGAGAAGCAGGAGGAAGAGGCTTGGAGGAAGGGACTGATTGAGCAGAAAGAACAAAAAGGAAAACAAGCAAGTAATTAAGATAACAGACTTTGTTCAGGACACATTTAGTTTCGTTCTCGAACCCGAGTTATGCACTGACTGTACACATTGCTATGTTACAGGTGATTAAACGCCTGGATAGTGGTGTTCAGGTAGATTTTTCACAGGTGCAAACAGGTTAACACATAATGACTTGTACTGTAGCATACATGCGATACGGTAAGTGATGCTACATTTAGAAAAATCAGGAGCGAAACCGCAAGCTGCAGCTGAGATAAAGAATGCGATACATAGAAAATGTCCAACAACACCAGTCATGAGAAGTTGGTTGTGGAGCGCATTTTTTGGCTGCAGTCATTGGCTGGCTAGCCGTGTTTGGTGTGACGGTCAATGCTTATGGTTGTGGGTTATTGAGCGAGGACAATCAAAATTCTCTAGCAATTGATCGAATCAAATGTCAAAACAATCATTGAATATGTTTTAAGTCTGATTTTCTTTTAGAAAAGTTTGACCACACAGAAGCAGTCCGGATTCCAAATCTTGTCTAGGGGAATACAAAAAAAAAAAAAAAGTCGTGTGGTGAGTTGCCAGTCTACTATTAACCCCAGCAAGCAAGATGGGGGACCGCGTGAGGAGAAGTGACAGCGAGGAAATGACACGAGAGCGGTGATTTTAATGAGGAGGAATAAACGAAAAATGGCGCGTTTAAGAGACTGAAGAGAAGGGAAAAAATACAGCCAAAGGAGAAAAGTAGCAGCGAGCCTTTTACAGCCTGTGGTTGTGCTCGAAGGGAGAGGCAGGCTATCACGACGGAGAGAACGGAGGAGGCGAAGGAAAGACGTGATAGCCCAAGAAATCTTTTCCCGCCACGCCATGAACAGCGGGAGAAAACAAGGGAAGCGGATGACAGATAAGAGGGGAGAGAGATAGAGGGAGTACGAGGAAGGTGAATTGAACACAGGCTGCAAGCACCAAATCAAGTATCGTGCTCCGTCACCTGGCACCGCACTGTTCCTCTTCAGAGGCACGCCTCTCTGTCATGTCAACTCTGTGATGTGTGTGTGTGTGTGTTGTCGTGTGTGTGTGTGTGTGTGTGTGTTGTGGCTCCTCTGACAGGGTGTGTATGTCTACGAGTAGGTGCTATAACAATGAGAACTCAGGAACACAACAAAACTCCTTTTGGTGTGTTTGTAAAATATAAAGGAAATGAAATAGGGGGGATTCAGTTAGAGAAAGACTTTCTTTACTCAGGGGTCACTTTGCAGAATATATTTTCTTACTTGCTGAATTCATCAAATTAAACGGTGATTTCCAGCTGTTTTTCTCCACAGCAAGCAAAACATCAAAGTAGCAAGCAGTAACCTTTTTAGGTTATCCAGAATGATCTTATTTAGTTATAGAAAGTCAGGGGAAAGTCATG